TGGAGGATGAGCCGGGTCACCTCCTTGACGCGCTCGGTCACGAGGGCCTTGTCCGCCTCCGCCACCTGCGACATCCACCGCTCGCACTTGTCTGGGTGCCAGCGCAACAGCGCCGCCCGCAGCTTCCTCTTCCGGGCGGCGGCGTCCTCCCCAGCGCCGATGCCGCACACGCTCGGCAGCCTCAGCGGCCACGGGACCTCCGCGCACCGTACCTCGGCGCCCGCTCGGGCCCTGCCCTCGAACTCCTGTGGGGAAGCCAAGAATAGACGAGCGCGCTCCACTACTCGCAAAATGACTGCTCGCAGATGGCTTGGATACGCCGAGGGGGATTTGCGATCCATTACATCGAGGCAGACGTTTTTTGTTGGTTCTGTTTTTCAGGACGTTTGCGAGTAGGCACCTTGCGAGCACAGGAACGCGCTCGGTGAAACAAGTACCGATGCCACTGCTCCCCGAACCTCTCTCCGGGTGCGCCCCCACCACCACTCAAGGGCGACCGCAGCTGAGGCGCCGAGGGCCTCCCAGGAGGCCCACCGAGGGACAAAAACGAGGGAAGGGCAGCGCCACCGGTGCCTCCTTCCCGCCCGATCCTCCCAGGCGGCGTCGTAGGCGGCGAAGGACGCGAAGTGCGGCGCCGGGGGGCCCTCCCCCGCAGGCGCCCGTGCCGCCGGCGGGGGCGCGCCGCTCGGCGGCCGCCCGGCGGCGGCCGAGCGCGCCCCGGCGGCGCCGCCCGCGGCTGCGTCGGGGGGCGGCGGGGGGGCAGCGCTGCCCCGCTGCTCCCTGCGCTGGCGCAGCCTGCTCGCCTCGTCCCATAGCCTCGCCCTGTTCTCCTCCCAGCGCGCCCTGCGCTGCCGCTCCTCCTCGAGCGTCTCCCGCTCCTCCTCCAGCCGCCGCAGCCTCCGCCGCGAGAGCTCCTGCTCGTCCATGCGGCGGAACGCGTCCGCCCACCGGGTCTCCCAGGCCTGCCACGGGTCGCTCGGGTCCGGGTCCGGGGGCTTGGCCCGGTGTGCTGGACGGCCGGAGGACGACGAGGCCCCTGTCTTGAGGGGGACCAGGGCTGCCTGGAAGGCGCCGCACGGGCCCGCGTCGTCCTGATCGGAGTCGCTGTCCAGGGGGCCCCTCCACGAGCGCGGGCGCTGGCGGGGCTCCTCGGGGCCGGCGACAGCGGGGCGGGCGCCCGCGAAGAGGAAGCCACGCCCCGTGGGCCCCGCGCGGGCGTCGGCCAGGCTCAGCACCCCTGCCGCGGCGGCAGTGGCCGGGTGCGGCTTCGCCTCTGCCAGCTGGCGCAAGTGCTCCACAGCCTCTAGACGGCGGGCCGCCTGGCGGCCGCGGAGATTCAGCTCGCTCGGCTCCGCCAGCGCGAGCCCCCACGGGCTCGCGCTGGCCCCGGCGGGTCGGGGATTGCGGCGCCAGTCGGCGGCGGGGCTGCTCCACTCGGCGCGCAGCGCCTCGAGGTCCTCGTCCGCGCCAGAACGCTGGAGGTCGCCCAGCATGGCGGCGGCCACGCCCCGCTGCCAGTCCGCGTGGGGCGGCAGCCCTGCGAGCGACGTCGACACGACGCTCCCGCCGCTCACTGATGCCGCCTCGGGCGACCACCTTTCCCAGTCTGCCCGGTAGACTGGCAGCGCCGCGAGCGACGTGGACGCGACGCTCGCGCCGTTCTCGGAGGCCACCCCCGGCGACCACCTCCGCTGACGCTCGGCGCGCTCGGCGCGCATCTGCCTGCCCTGCGCCATGCGCTGCACATGGCTCTGCATGGCGTCCTGCGGCAGAACACCGCGCCCTGGCGCGTCGCGCCTGGCGAGCGCGGCGGCCGCGGGTCGAGGAGGCCTCGAGCCAACACGGCTACGGAGAGGACTGCGCCGTGAGACTTACCGACTGGTGCGCGCCGTCCTTGCCCAAGGGCCTCGCGAACCTTCTCTGCATCGTCCCAAACGCCGTCGCCGCGGTCGCCGGCTTCGTCGCCGCCGTTCGCCGCGGGCCGTCCGCCGTGGGCCGTCAGCGCCGCCATCGCTGCCGTCGTCGCCGCCCTCGCTCTCCGCCGTCCGCGGCCGACACGCCACCGAAACGCCGCCGTCCGCCGCTGGCGCCGCCGCGGCCTCCTCTTCTTTTTCGTCTTCTTTTTCTTCCTCCTCCTCCTCCTCCTCCTCCTCCTCCTCCCCGCCGCCCACGCGCCGCGGCTCCACGTGCTGCCGCCCGCCGCGTCCGCCCGCTGCCAGTGGGAGCACTCCAGCCTCGGCCGCCCCGCCGCCCGGGGCGCGCGTGCGGCGGGGAGGGGGAGGAGGGGGAGGAGGGGGAGGAGGGGAGGAGGAGGAGGAGGAGGAGGAGGAGGAGGAGGAGGAAGAGGAGGAGGAAGAGGAGGAGGAGGAGGAGGAGGAGGAGGAGGAGGAGGAGGAGGAGGAGGAGGAGGAGGAGAAGGAGGAGGAGGAGGAGGAGGAGGAGGCGAGCGCCATTTGCGGGAACTCCATCCCCCGCCAAGGCTCGGTGGCCGCCCAGCGGCACCCTCGGGTGGCGCTGAGCGCCGCGGCCGCCATGTCTCAGGCGCGGCACGCCGAAGAGTATGCCTAACTGCGGGCGTGGGGGCTGGGCTCACCTTCTTACTCCCTGCTGCTCTGCATGACCCTTTTCACTTAGGCTCGCGCCAACAACCTCTGCTCGTTTCTGCGGGCTCACGATCCGCTTCGCGACTGGCCCCGTCGCGGCGTCGCCGCCGCAACTGCGACGCCATCGACTTCCGATGCGTCCGCTCCCGCACACGGGAGCAACGCGACAGAGATGCGTATGTAGGGGCTCTGACTCATGGGCAGGTTCTTGGGAGGAAGGGGGGTCCTCTTACACCCTCACGAGGGCAATCTGCGCCACAACGCAAACGCCACCGCTGACAGGCTGCCTCAGCGAGAACACCACCGCGGGCAGCCACAACTCAGCCTCTCCCTTGCTCCTCTGGTTTGTCCCAAGGTAGTCGCAAGGTCGTCTTCGCCGTTTGTCGTTCTCCTTCCCCCCCCTGGCACCGCAAAGTAACTGAACTACATTGCCCACTCCTGGGCTGGATCCTCCTGCCCCTCGCGGTCTCTCAGGCGAGGGGGAGGGGAGGCAGAAGGGGGGGGGAGAAATGAGAAGAAGGAGGAGGAGGAGGAGGAGGAGGAGGAGGAGGCGGACCAGAGTAAACCCATGATGCTTCAACAATGCTGCAATACGCCCCCCCTCCCACGTCCTTTCCCCAGACATCCCAGAAGACATTCATATTCACTACTGGAGGCGCGCCCTGGAAATACGAGCGTCCCATGGGCCCGCCATCTATGCGAGAGCACCGTTTCGAACATTAGGTGCCCTGTGCCCCTTCATCTTCCCAACCGCGAAGAACGCGCAGAGGGTGGAACAGAACGTTCGGGGAGGTGTCCAGCGAGGGCCCAATTTTGAAGATGAACCGCCATCCACTCAATGCGCCCTCACTCGCGCGTGAGGAGGAAGAGGATGAGGAGGAGGAGGAGGAGGACGAGGAGGAGGAGGCGGAGGAGGAGGCAGATGATGATGATGTGCTGCTCATTAAGTATCTGTGCGTGATGATTATGATGAGTGAAGGAGAAGTAGGAGTTAGTACGGAGTAGGATGAGGAGGCGAGGAGGGCACAAGGAGGAGATGATGTGGGAGGAGAAGCTCGAGGGAGAGGAGGTAGAATGAGGAGGAGGCTGATGAGGAGATGGCGTATGGGCTACCCATCTAGGAAGCGCGATTGGGAACCACACCGCCTCGTCACAATAGGAGTGAAGTGAGAAGATACCAGATGATGAAGGAGGAGGAGGAGGAGGAAGAGGAGGAGGAGGAGATAGCAGAATGATAAGATGAGAAGAAGAGAAGAGGAGACAGAATAGGAAAGGAGGATGCTTGTCAAATATGATGCTGTTGTTGAGGGGGAGAGAGGAGGAGGGATGAGGAGGAGTGAGGAGGAGATGAGGAGGTAAAAGGACGGAGGAGGAGGAAGGAAGAGAAAGAGATGAAAGGAGGATTTGTCTGACGCGGCAAGGCAGCCCGAAGAAATTGCCCATAGGAAGAGGGGCCCCCAGGTGTTTTCCTGCATGTACATAACAACACTCTCATCGACAAAAACCAACAGTCTGTCCTCATCACTAAAAGGGATGTTCAGTCGGAGCCTTCGGAAGAAACATCAAATTACCCCAGTGCGACCCTACCTAGAAGTTGGAGCCCCTAGGAAAGCAGCATTAGTTGCTATGCTATGCTATGCTATGTCATGCTATGCCGACGCTATGCTATGCTATGATATGCTATGTTATGCTGCGCTATGCTATGCTATGCTATGCTATGCTAGACTAAGCTACGATATGCTATGCTGCGCTGTGCTATGCTAAGCTATGCTAAGCTGCGCTATGCTATGCTATGCTATGCTCTGCTATGTTATGCTATGCTAGGCTGCGCTATGCTATGCTATGCTATGCTATGCTATGCTATGCTATGCTTGGTTATGTTATGCTATTACCTGCTTTGCTATACTATGCTATGCTAATGCAGCGCTGCGCTGCGCTAAGCTAAGCTAACCCTCTAGGCAGAGCCTAGGTAGTGAAATACACTGCTATGCTATGCTATCCTATGCTGTGCTCTGCTATGCTAAAGCTCAGCGAAGCTAAGATGAAGGTAAGCTAGGCTAAGATAAACCAGAGCTAATATTAAGCTAACTAAGCTAAGATGAAATAAGCTAAACTAAGATGATATAAGCAACGCTAAGCTAAGGGGACATAACTGGGGGAACCGCGGGGCGGATGCCGGGGGAACCGCCCGGGCCGGTTCCCACTGCCCGGCCCCTTTAAGCCAAGCCAGTAAGAACCCTTCTAGGCAGAGCCTAGGTAGGGAAATGTTCAACCACTTCCTCCTCTCGACGAAGAGCCTCAGGCACATAATCAAGCTGAGCGCTGGGGCTGAGGAGGGGCAACGTTATCAAAGGGGTCTTCCTGGTTCTCTGGCTCCTGGGCTTCGTCGGGATCGAAACTCTCGCACGCGACGTCTGACAATTTAGGATGTCTGTCCTTCTTGAGAGAACTCGTAACCGCAGCGGCTGACTTCGGCAACGCCTCCTTCGGCAACGGACAAGCAACCGCACGCAACTTATTGTATTGGCCGTCACAGGAGTACCCAGAGCAATTCGCATACATATAAATCGTGGTGCAATTTGAGCAAGTGACACCGATGACCTGGTGACCGCTCTCTGTGACAACCTGCTGAGAGCGGCTTACCTTCCAGCCTCTTCAACTTTAGATAAGCGTGACACCTCCAGAACGAGTTGACCAACACTAATCATGTTGCAAACTTTTCTCCTCTTTGACCGCGGGGGGGACACGCATCAGGGGAACCCCAGTGTTGTCGAGTTTCGGCCAAAGCGGTGAGAACGAATAGGCCAACTTGCAGGTTGAACGGGCCAGGCACACGACTTCGAAATGATCTCTGATCTCTCAGCTCGCTCTGAGGGCGAACAACAACTTCTTGCTTAGCTGCCGCGTCTGCAACGTCGTTTCCCCGCTTACAGGAACCTTCAAATTCAGGCAACTCAATCAAATCTGGGCTGTCCTGGATCTGGTCCTCGACTTTGACAACCGAACTAAATAAGGAATCGCACGTGAGACACATGCCTGCGTATGGCCTCTTGTGTGAGGTCTGCTTAGCTAGATGCACGAGAAAGCTGCTTGACCACATTGGTGCAATCATTGAGGAGGATGATAGGGAGAAGGATGAAGATGAGGATGAGGAGGAGGAGTAGGAGGAGGAGGAGGAAGAAGAGCAGGAGCAGGAGGAGGATGAGGAGGATGAGCAGGAGCAGGAGGATATGAATCGGGGGTTGGGGGGTGATACAGAGGTGAAATGGGGACCCCCACTGGTACATCGGCTTCGATTTCATGCTCGTGTCGTGCGTGCGTGCGGGCGAACCGAAGTTGCTTGTGCGGGCGGGAGGAATGAACCCGCCGTTGCTAGGGCGGAACGGGGCCAAATGATGCTGTGTCCTGCCCCCGGCTGGCCGGTGGTGGCCGGGGTGTCCTGGTGGTGTTCCGATGGTGTCCCGTTGCTAGGGCGGAACTGGGCCGAATAATGCTATGCCCTCCCCCTGGTTGGCCGGCGGTGGCCCAGGGGTGTCCCGATGGTGCTCCGATGGTGTCCCGGTGGTGTCCTGATGGTGTCCCGATGATGTCCTGATGGTGTCTGGGTCCGGATGGTGGCCCAATGGTGTCTCGATGGTGTCCCAGTGGTGTTCAAAAGGTGTCCCGATGGTGTCCGCATGGTTGCCCGACGGTGTCCCGATGGTGTCTCGATGGTGTCCGCATGGTGCCCCGATGGTGTCCCGATGGTGTTCCATTGGTGTCCCGATGGTTGTCCCGTGAGATCGACAAATAGATAATGAGATCGATGGATGCTGAGATCGATAGATTGGTAGTGGGTAGTGGGATCGATTGTGAGGTGAACAGTGAGACCGATTGATAGTGATACTTATACACTGATAGCGAGACCGACGGCACGATCAATAGTGATATGGGTATACAGATACTGATACCGAATGTGAAAAATTGTGGTCGACCGTGATATCGATAATGAGACCGACAATACTAACGAGATCGCTTATGAGATCGGTCGTGAGGTTGATACCGGAACCGATCGTAATGTCGACAGTGAGACCGATCGTGAGATCAATCGATGCATATCTATGGTGAGAGCGATAGTGAGATCGCCGGCAAATAGTGGGGCTGATCCTGGGATTGATCAAAAAAAATGATGGACGGATGGGCCACAATGGTGTCCCGATTGATTTCCGCTGGTGTCTCGATGGTGTCTCGATGGTGCCCAGCAGATGGTGTCCCGATGGCGTCCAGATGGTGTCCGCATGGTGGCCCGACGGTGTCTCGATGGTGTTTCGATGGTGTCCAGATGGTGCCCCGATGGTGTCCCCACGGTGCCCAGATGGTGACTCGATGGTGTCCACATGGTGTCTGGATGGTGTCATTTATTTGCCTCCAGTGTCTTCAGGTGCTCCTCCCGATGGTGTTTCGATGGTGTCCCGATGGTGTCTAAATGGTGGCCCAATGGTCTTTCAATAGTCCTGTGGTTGTCCCGCGGTTGTCTCGCAGGTGCCCAGGTGGTTGTTTGAGGGTTCTCCGATGGGTGTCAAGTTGCCCAGAGGTTCGAGGACTCCGCTGGCTGCCCCGCTGGCTAATGGCTGCCCCGCTGGCCGTCCCGA